ATTGTCTTAGGGATTAACAGTCAGCTCCTCATTACTTATGCAAATTTCTGCAGCTGGCTTGAATGTCTCCTCAGAAAATGGGATTTCTTTTTCTGTCACATTATCAGGCTGCAAATTTTCCTAACTTTCATGTTCTGCTTCCTTTATAAAAAATGAATGCCTTTAACAGCACCCAAGTCACTTCTTGTATGCTTTGCTGCTTATAAATTTCTTCCACCAGTTGCCCTTAATCATTTCTCTCAAGTTCAAAATACCACAAATCTCTAGGACAGAAGCAAAATGCTGCCAGTCTGTAGGCTAGAACATAACAGGAGTCACCGTTGCTCCAGTTCCCATCCCACCTCTTTCTTCAGTATGACCTGGATATGAGTCATGGAGTCAAAGGAGATCATTTTGGAGCTTTAAGATTTGACTGCCCGGGGCTGGGCATGGTGGCTCACACCTGTAATCCCAGCACCTTGAGAGGCTGAGGTGGTCGGATCACAAGGTCAGGAGATTGAGACTATCCTGGCTAACATGGAGAAACCCTTGTCTCTACTAAAAATACAAAAAATTTAGCCAGACATGGTGGCGGGCACCTGCAGTCCTAGCTACTCGGGAGGCTGAGGCAGGAGAATGGCGTGAACCTGGGAGGTGGAGCTTACAGTGAGTCGAGATCGAGCCACTGCACTCCAGGCTGGGTGACAGAGCAAGACTCCATCAAAAGAAAAAAAGAAAAAAAAGATTTGACTGCCTACCTGGATTTCAGACTTGCATGGGACCTGTAGCCCTTTGTTTTGGCCAATTTCTTCCATTTGGAATGGCTGTATTTACCCAATGCCTGTACCCCCAATATATCTAGGAAGTAACCAACTTGCTTTTGATTTTACAGGCTCATAGGTAGAAAGGACTTGCCTTGTCTTGGAGGAGACTTTGGACTGTGGATTTTTGAGGTAATGCTGAAATTTTTGAGTTAAGACTTTGGAAGAAAGGCATGATTGGTTTTGAAATGTGAGGACATGAGATTTGAGAGTGGCCAGGGGCAGAATGATATGGTTTGACTGTGTCTCCACCCAAATCTCATCTTCAATTCCCATGTGTTGTGTGAGGGGCCCAGTGGGAGGTAATTGAATCATGGGGGCAGGTCTTTCCTGTGCTGTTCTCAGGATAGTGAATAAGTCTCACAAGATCTGATGGTTTTAAAATGGGGAGTTTCCCTGCACAAGCTCTTCTTCTCTAGTCTGCCACCATGTGAGACGTGCCTTTCACCTTCTGTGAGGCCTCCCTTGCCTCACAATCATGTGGAACTGTAAGTCCATTTAACCTCATTCTTTTGTAAATTGCCAGTCTCAGGTATGTCTTTATCAGCAGCATGAAAATGGACTAATACACATGCTTTGTGCTTTAAAATTACTAAAATTCTACTTTAGCTCAAAGAAAGAGGACGAGGAAGGCAGTAGCAGGAAATCAAGTCTGAGAATTAAAAGGCTGCGGCAAATCCTGAAGAACTTTTGGGGTCATTTATATGGATATTGGCTTTTAATTTGCACAATTTAAAAAATATTGGACATTTTTGAGCAGGAATAACACAGTGAGACTTCCATTTAAAAACACAACTTTCAGGCCGGGCGCGGTGGCTCAAGCCTGTAATCCCAGCACTTTGGGAGGCCGAGACGGGCGGATCACGAGGTCAGGAGATCGAGACCATCCTGGCTAACACGGTGAAACCCCGTCTCTACTAAAAAATACAAAAAACTAGCCGGGCGCGGTGGCGGGCGCCTGTAGTCCCAACTACTCGGGAGGCTGAGGCAGGAGAATGGTGTGAACCCGGGAGGCGGAGCTTGCAGTGAGCTGAGATCCGGCCACTGCACTCCAGCCTGGGCGGCAGAGCGAGACTCCGTCTCAAAAAAAAAAAAAAAAAAAAAAAAACACAACTTTCAACTGCTATGTCGAAAGAAGACTGTAGAGGAGCAGGAAAAGATCATGGAAACCAAGCCAAAAATTAATGCTATAATTAAGCAAGAGAGAGAATTGGGCTAGCATGATAATGGTAGAGTTGGTAAGAATTAGCCTAAATTTTTGTACTTTTAAATAAGATTTTTTTATGAGCATGATATGGAGTAGGAGACAAAGAGAGGAATCAAGAATAATCATAACATCTTTGGTATGAGCCAAAGAATTGATCTGATATTTACTGAGTTTAGAATGAGTACATAAAATGCAGATTGAAAGAGAAAAATTCGAATTTCATTTCCTAACCTTTTACTTTTCTGATAGATATCTAAGTGTGGATATAAAATACGTAGTTGTAGACTAGAATTTAGCAATGTGATCTAGGCTGGAAACAATGTTTAATCCTCAAAACAGCATTTTCCAAAGTATATTCTGCAAGTGTCTGTTTCTGCAGCAGGTTAATAATACTAAACACACAGCTCAGTTAATCAATATCTTTAGAAATGTTGAAGTAATATAAACAGGTTTTCTTTAGTACCGCTCAGAGTCATTAATATAATAATACAATTTTGATATTTAATGATGATAACATAGTATATAGAGTGTTCCAAACTGTTCTAAAATATATCTTTTCCAGGAAAATTTGGGATAACCGTTTGAAAGAAACATTTTGTATAAGACAATGACAACCACCCTGAGAGCATTAGCCTAATTTAACAAATGAAACAACGAAGTTTTTAAAAACTTGAATAGTTACGCAAGGTGATATAGCTGGCCTTCAAACCCATGTTGATCTTTCTTACTGTTTAATTGAACTCATGAAAAAGAAGAGGGTGGCAATATACTCAAGTGTGATTTCATTCTACATACAGATAAGCAGAGTAAACCAGACAAAATTTCCCAAGACTTGGTAAAAGAGGCCTAATGAAGAAAATAAAAATGCAGGGGCTTAGTAGATACAAGACAAAATGTCCTGCTTAATTCTATTTAGGTCTGACTAGAATTCTTTTAATTAATAATGGCTGTATAATCCAGAGGCTTGTAGAGAGCTTGGAATATATATTTGCACCAGTATGGATTTTTTTTCTAGCATTTATAGACTTGTTGGTTATTGAAAGCTTTTCCTAATTCAAGGTACTCTGTATAGCTTTAACCACAATATTTCTGAGATGTGTGTCAACAGCGTGATTTTCCTCCAGTTAGACTGGAATCAGAGGGGTGGAAGAATGGTGAATAGTGTTAAACACAAAAAGGAATAAAATATTGCAGTGGCTCACGCCTGTAATCCCAGCACTTTGGGAGGTTGAGATGGGAGGATCACGAGGTCAGGAGATTGAGACCATTCTGGTTAACTTGGTGAAACCCTGTCTCTATTGAAAATACAAAAAATAAGCCGGGCATGGTGGCGGGCGACTGTAGTCCCAGCTACTCAGGAAGCTGAGGCAGGAGAATGGCGTGAACCCAGGAGGCGGAGTTTGCAGTGAGCCGAGATCGTGCCACTGCACTCCAGCCTGGGCAACCAAGACTCCTCTCAAATAAATAAATAAGTAAAATATTGGGAAGCCAAGGCAGGCAGATCACCTGAGGTCAAGAGGTCAAGACCAGCCTGACCAACATGGAGGAAGACCAGCCTGACCAACATGGAGGTGTGGTGGTGCATGCCTGTAGTCTCAGCTACTCGGGAGGCTGAGGCAGGAAAATTGCTTGAATTGGGGGCAGGGGGACGGGGGGCAAAAGTTGCAGTGAGCTGAGATTGCACCATTGCACTCCGGCCTGGGTGACAAAGTGAAACTCGGTCTCAAAAAAAAAAAAAAAAAAAGAAAAAGAATAAAGTAGTCAGTCAATACAAAGCAAATTTGAGGAAATTATTATACTTTTTAACAATTTTGAAATGTTTAAAATTGGTATCACCTCAAGTTTTGGTCAAATTAATATACATGACCTGTGACCCCATGGAAGTATAGGGTGGTGGACATCACCGTGGGCTGAAATTTGAGCCCCCAGTGACTTTAGTTTTTGCTAACAACCAATTACTTAGATTTTAGTATTGAATTCTGAACTTCAGAATATTTGCTAGTAATGTATTGAGTGATTAAGGATTATAAAATTTGCTATTAATAAGCTAATACTTTCACATTATTATCATGTCCTGATGGCTTTAATTCCATGTTCTACAAGGAAGATTGGCTGCCATGCAATATTTGGCAAGGTTACAAATCTTTTTTTAAATTTTTTTAGGTGGAGTCTCGCTCTGTCACCCAGACTGGAGTGCAGTGGCACAATCTTGGCTCACTGCTTGCTCTGCCTCCCGGGTTCACGCTATTCTCCTGCCTCAGCCTCCTGAGTAGCTGGGACTACAGGCGCCCACTACCATGCCCGGCTAATTTTTTTTTTTTTGTATTTTTAGTAGAGATGAGGTTTCACCGTCTCAGCCAGGACAGTCCCAATCTCCTGACCTCGTGATCCTCCCACCTCAGCCTCCCAAAGTGCTGGGATTACAGGAATGAGCCACTGTGCCCAGCCAAGGTTACAAATCTATGTCTGCGTCTGCCAGTACAAGTAACTGAAACACCAGAAATTTCAGTTTGTTGTTTGAGTTATAGAAAGTAATATCTTCAAAAATTATGCAATATTGTACTGATACGTCAGCCTGTGAAGACTCATCAGGATATTCAGGGTAAATTTTACATTCTCTAGTTATCTATTTCCTAATGCTGTAAATTCATGTCAGATTATTAAACAGTTCCAGGGACTGTTTTCTCTACCATAGTGACAAAGAATGTGTAAGGAATTCACCCTAAAAATATACATATAAAACAAACTTAACAACAAGTACACTTATATGAGGCAATGGATATTGAATCATGAAGGGAAAGAGTTCTTTAATAGGCAGTCTAGTAATGCAAGTAAGAGTATAAGTTTTGATATCAGGAACGCATGAGTCAAAATTCTGGCTCTATAATTTATTATCTGAGTGGTCTAGGGTCAGTTATCCTCTGTAAGCATTAAATCTCTGATATGTAAATCCAGATACAAATCACTGCCTTATAGAGTGTTAGAGTTATTACTTACTTTAGTAGCACATATACTAAAATTGTGGTAATACAGAGAAGATTTGCATCATCCCTGTGCAATAACAACACACAAATTTATGAAATATTCTATGTTTTGCAAATTGAAAAAAGGCAGAGACAAGGAGAGAATTCTAAAAAGAGCAAGATAAAAGCTTCAAGTCACCTGTGAGGGAACCTCTATTAGACTATGAGAGGATTTTGCAGAAAAAAAAATCACAGACCATGGGGAATGGGTTGATATATTCAAAGTATTGGGAAAAAATAAATGCATAAAACTCATATCAACCCTAAATACTATACCCAGCAATGCATTCAGAAATAAAAGAGAAACCCTGTCCCAGAGAAACAAAGGCTGACGTAATTTATCATCATTAGACTGGACTTACAATAAATGCTTAAGGTAAAGGTTCAACTGAAAAAAAGGGATAATTACTATCATTAAAACATAAAAAAGTATAAACCCAATTAGTTGAGGCAAATTCATAATCAAATTCAAAATACTCTATTACTCTAACGATGATGTGTTAATTTTTTAAATCTCCAGTACAAAGGTTAAAAGTCAAAATAATATACCTACAGCTACAGTTATAGTCAAAAATAACTATAGCTACAATAAGTTTTAAAATACAAAATATAAAAAGATGTAAAATGTTCTCAACATAAGTAATCACCAGGAAAATGCACATTAAACCATTATGAGACATCATCTCATACCCATAAAGATGGCTATTAATTAAAAACAAAAAAGGTAAATGTTGGCAAGGGTGTGGAGATAAGGGAACCCTGGTACACTGTTGATGGGAATGTAGTTTCCTATAGCCATGATGGAAAGCAGTATGAAGGTTCCTAAAGAAGTTGAAAATAAAACTACTATATGACCTGGCAATTCCTTTTCTGAATACATACAAATAAGAGATAAGATAGACACCTTGCAAATATATCTGTACTCTCATGTTGATTGCAGGATTATTTACAATAGCAAGACATGTAAACAATATAAATACCCATAGACACGCAAATGGGTAAAGAAATGTCACAAACACACACATAAACACACACACACAACACACACACACACACAGAAATAATCACCCCTAAAAAGAAGGTCCACGATATGAATGGAACTACCATAGAAGACATTATGCTAAGTGAAATAAGCCAGACAGAGGAAGAAAATCATTGCATAATCTTACTTACATGAGAATTTTTTTTTTTAAATGAAAAGAGCTCAAATATGCAAGGATGATGAAGCAGTGGTTACCACAAGTGAAGGGGATAGGAAGGAAATAGGGAGATATATGTCAAATAACACAGAGTAACAGATGTATAGGAAATGTAGAGTAGTAGCCTGTTTTCATGCTGCTGATAAAGACATACTCGAGACTGGGCAATTTACAAAAGAAAAATATTTCATTGGACTCACAGTTCCATGTGAATGGGGAGGCCTCACAATCATGGCAAAAGGCAAGGAGGAGCAAGTCACAGCTTACATTGATGGTGGCAGGTAAAAAGAGGGCTTGTGCAGAGAAACCCATTTTTCACACCATCAGATCTCGTGAGATCCATTCACTATCACGAGAACAGCCCAGGAAAGACCCACTCCCATAATTCAGTAATTCTCCACCAAATCCCTCCCACAACACGTGGAAATTATAGGAGCTACAAGATGAGATTTGGGTGGGACACAGAGTCAAACTATATCATTCCACCCCAGCCCTTCCCAAATCTCACATCTTCACATTTCAAAACCAATCATGCCTTTCCAGCAGTCCCCCAAAGTCTCAACTCATTTTCAGCATTAACTCAAAAGTCTACAGTTTATAGTCTCATCTGGGAAAAGACAAGTCCCTTCCACCTATGAGCCTGTAAAATAAAAAACAAGTCAGTTACTTCCTAGATACAATGGGGTTACAGGAATTGGATAAATACAGCCATTCCAAATGGAAGAAATTGACCAAAACAAAGGGGCTGCAGGCCCCATGCAACTCCAGAATCCAAAAAGGCAGTACAATCTTGAAGCTCCAAAGTGATCTCCTTTGACTCCATGTCTCACATACGGATCACACTGAAGCAACAGGTGAGTTCTCATGGTTTTCGGCAGCTCCACCTCTGTGACTTTGCAGGGTACAGCCTCCCTACCGGTTGCCTTCACGGGCTGGCATTGAGTGTCGGTGGCTTTTCTAGGCTCATGGTGCAAGCTGTTGGTGGATCTACCATTCTGGGGTCTGGAGGACAGTGGTCCTTTTCTCACAGCTCTATTAGGTGGTCCTCCAGTAGGAACTCTGTGTGGGGGCTCCCACCCCACATTTTCCTTCTGTACTGCCCTAGCAGAGGTTCTCCATTAGGGCCCTGTCCCTACAGCAAACATCTGCCTGGGCATCCAGGCATTTCCATACGTCTTCTGAAATTGAAACAGAGATTCACAAACCAGAATTCTTGACTTCTCTGCACCTGCAGGCTCAGCACCATGTGGAAATGCCAAGGCTTGAGACTTGCACCCTCTTAAGCCATGGCCTAAACTCTACATTGGCCCCTTTCAGCCATAGCTGGAGTGGCTGAGATGCAGGGCACCAAGTTCCTAAGTTGCACACAACACGGGGACCCTGGGCCTGACCCACAAAACCACATTTATTCTTGTAGGCCTTTGGGCCTGTGATGGGAGAGACTTCTGTGAAGACCAATGACATGCTCTGGAGAAATTTTCCCCATTGTCTTGGGAATTAACATTCAGTTCCTTGTTACTTACTCAGATTTCTGTAGCTGGCATGAATTTCTCCTCAGAAAATGGTATTTTCTTTTCTATTGCATTGTCAGGCCACAAATTTTCCAAACTTTTATGTTGTGTTTCACTTTTAAAACTGAATGCCTTTAACAGCACCCAAGTCACTTCTTGAATGCTTTGCTGCTTAGAAATTTCTTCCACCAGATACTCTAAATCATCTCTCTGAAGTTCAAAGTTCCACAAATCTCTAGGGCAGGCACAAAATGCCACTAGTCTCTTTGCTACAACATAACAAGAGTCACTTTTGCCCCAGCTCCCAACAAGTTTCTCATCTCCATCTGAGATCACCTCAGCCTGGACCTTATTATTCATATCACTATCAGCATTTTTGTCAAAGACATTCAACAAGTCTCTAGGAAGTTCCAAACTTTCCCACATTTCCTTGTCTTCTTCTGAGCCCTCCAAACTGTTCCACCCTCTGCCTGTTACCCAATTCCAAAGGCAATTCCACATTTTCAGGTATCTTTTCAGCAATGCCCACTCTCCTGACACCAGTTTACTGTATTAGTCTGTTTTCACACTACTTATAAAGACATACCTAAGACTAGGCAATTTACAAAAGAAAGAGGTTTAATTGGACTCACAGTTACATGTGGATGGGGAGGCCTCACAATCAGGGTGGAAGGCGAGGAGGAGCAAGTCACATCTTACGTGGATGTCTGCAGGCAAAAAGAGAGCTATGCAGAGAACCTCGCTCTTTTAACATCACCATATCTCATGAGACCCATTCATTACCATGAGAACAGCATGATTCAATAATCCTCCACCAAGTCCCTCCCACAATATGTAGGAATTATGGAAGCCACAAGATGAGATTCGGGTGGGTATACAAAGTCAAACCATATCAATGACCAAATCTAGAAATTTAATGTACAACCTGAGAACTAAGATTAACAAAATTGCATTTTTTAAAAAAAGTTTTAGAATAAAATTAAAGAGCATAAATCATCTAAAGCACTTAGAACCCTACACAGAAAGCAACTAGTTGATATCAGCTAAAGAAATCTTTTTGCACCATGGTAAACTTGCATGAGATTCTTGTAGAGCTATATTTGTTAATTTTTATCTGAAAGGAATCTAAGATACTTAAAAGTATTAAACTCATTGAAACTTCTGTGTAAACAGCTGTTTAACATATCTTTTCCTAGTCTTGATAATTTCCCCTTTTGAACCAAATATCAAATGGTTCAGATGCTCATAAAGTAAGGTTGAGTCACAGTCACTTGCCTCTAGTTTTTAAAAAGTCCAACCTTCTACAGCTCTACCAGTGGACTGCACTGCCCAAAGTTATGCTTTATGGCATCTGTGTCTATTGCAAATCATAACCTGCTACAGCAGCTTTCACTAGAACTGTTATTTTCCCTTCTGAAATATAAATAGAAAAGAGTTAGAGAACAGAAGGAAATATAGGAGCATAACAATATAAATACAAGTTGATTTGGTACATTAAAGAATGTGAATCAAAAGCTAACTTTAATAACTATAAATCTGCTTTTCTTAATATGGTAAGAAAGAATTACTAACCATTTATTTCTGCCAGTTTCAGGGCAGTGGATAATGCTGTGTCCAGACATAAGGAACAAGTAGATAAAAGCTTGCATTTGGATAAAACAATAAATAGGCAGAATCATGTTGGTTTATTTGTTAAACCACTATGTATTAATCCAATTCCCTGCTTAAGAACAAAAGCATAATAGATCTAAGCTAATATTCTAGAAGTAGATTACTAGAACACTGAGTAGTAAACTCACATGCTTAAAAGGAAATGGTCAAACCCTACAGAATGTACAGGGAGCAACAGTTAAGACCAATACCTGTCCAGAGTCAAGGAAGATAAAGCAGGACCAAGAAGGATAGAGTAAAATGAGTGGCGTAAATCCAATTAATACTCTTTTAAAGAGAGAAAAAAAGGATACCCTCAATAGTTGAAGTATGCAGGTGAGATCAAGCACATATATCATATTAGAATTAAAAATTTCAAAAAAGGTTAAAAAATCTGTTAATGAAGACAATGTACACATTACTTCTATAAATGTATGATTGCTGAAAAGCTGATAATCAGTTTTGGTCAACTGGTTTGATTTTGCTGATAAGTAGGTATATATATATGAGATGAGCTTGATGGTACAAAGACCATAATGAAGCAGAAACAGAAGAGGTATAATATGGAAAATATGTCTAAGAAAATATCTTCTAATCAATTCCAAAAATATTTGAAGCTTTTTGAAATTGGTTAAAAGTTGCTAGAAATATTTCTGTTTATTAACTTTATATATTTAAGTAAAAACAGTACAATTTAAAAATTATTTTTGAAT